GGAAGAGGGTCATTTCTCAAGAGCACCAGGTGGTGGCAGAGTCAATGGTTAACTCAAGACATTGACTCACACAAGACATAGCTCAAGCAAAGGTGTTTACCGAAGTTACTGGAAGGCAGTTCTGGAAGGTGACAAATTTCTGGACATTTAAGTGAATGAAACAAAAGGTAAAGACATGAGTAAAAAAAAAAAAAATGAAGAGTAAGCAGCATCCCTTCAAGGCTTTCTACAGTCACTTTTTAGGAGCAGTGAAAATATTTACATGAATGACTAATAATCATGTACCTATCCAGCCCTGTTCCTAAATTAGTACTAAACAGGAAGACGCTGGGCTTAGCTAGGAATTCTTTTGATTTTCTTTTCTTTCCTAGCAACATTCCTACCTTAAAACATTACAAGATCATAGTGCAGGCCCAGAGGTGCTAGTGGCAGAGGGCAAGGCTGCGGATTCAATCTCCTGCACTTAAATAAATAATAAATAAAAAATAAAAGGAAAAGAAAAGATTACGTGATATGCAGTACTTTACAAATCAAATGATTTTTTTATTCTAACATACATCTGGTTAGGCTGAGGAGTTCCAAAGTTGTTCCAGAGAGTAGACTTTAATAAGTGTTCAAAACAAGGGTGTTTGTTGGCACTCATTAAATATTCCAACTTAGCCCTGATTCCATTAATAGCAAGGTGATTTCTGACCAGAATTTTTTTTTCTTAACTGTGGTTAAAGATTGCATGCTAGAAAACTAGGTCAGCTTGTGTTCCTTTAATTCGTCCTTTGCTCTTCTAAGAAATATGCTATGAGGGACATTTTGCTTAGTCTCCATACGGGTCATTAGGACTTGGGCATCTTCCTACTGTAAAGTGAGTTGAATAGGAGAACCGATTTTCTTTATTATTATAAAACTAATACAAAGCTCACCCAAAGCATGCAGACAGAATTTTAGTGGGGGAGAGATTCTAATAAATAAATGTGGTTTATATAATAATATACATGTGTGGCCTACATAGTGATTAAGACAGTATACACAGAAAAGACTCAAGCTATACAGGTAAATATACATTAGAGCTAGCTCTGTGAAATAACTAGGAAAAACAAGTTTCTTTTTGTTTTTGTACTTTCTACATATTATGAGTCTAAGTATTTTCGTTATAAGGACAACTAAATATGATCAAGGTTTATCTATTCGATCGTAAGCTCAGCTCCTCATGCACTGATATAACTAATTCTTTGGATATGGACCACATACTTGGTGCTATGCTGTTTCATGGATGCAAAGTCATAAGAAAGCAAAAGAATCAAAGAAACATGGGTGGTAGGGAGTGGTGTTAAATGCTGTGGATGTCTGTCATGGTTTGAATGAGAATGACCCCCATAACACAAATGCCACACATTCTCTACCTTCTGTGCATACTAGCCTCAAGTTTTTTGTTTGTTTGTTTGTTTGTTTTTGTTGTTGTTTTTGGGGTGTTTTTTTGTTTGTTTGTTTTTTTGCCTGTTTAACTGGGTAGTATATGAGGAAATTAGAAACAGACCACTGATAGTGGGTGGATACATTTAGGGAGGCAGGATAATAGAATACAAGTTAAATTAAAGAAAAGAAGGGGAATACTTGGGACAGAAGAACTTACACAGATAGTGGAATGATGTAGACAGGGAAACAAGAGGCCAGGGGAAGGCTTAACCCAAAAGAAGTGCATATGAAAAAGCTACTTGGGAAGCTACAAACTCATAATCCAAATAATATATAAGAGGGGATGGTAAAACAACCGAGATATGAAAGACAGGGGGGGCAGACATGGGGAACTAAAGGTTGAAGCAGGGATGAGGGGGCAGGGGGTGTGTTAACCAAAACAAAGAGGCTCTATGAAGCCCCAGTAGTTCATTTTTATCTCATCTATCTATCTATCTATCTATCTATCTATCTATCTATCTATCTATCTATCTATCTATCTATCTATCTATCTATCTATCTGAAGGTGTGTGGAAATGTTCCTTCTGAGGTAGTGAAGGAATCCAGAAACTATCATCAGAATGAGAAGCCACTGCATGGCACTCCTTAGCTTCTCATTAAGATCTTCTGATGACCTTAAGTTGAATAATTCCACAAACTATCATTAACACAAACCTCCTTTTCATACCGTGCACTTGGAATTCTGGGTGAGACTTAACTACAGGACCACTCCATCATCTGTCCTTTCTTAATCTAAAAGGTGAATTTATTTAGGGCCCATGATGCATGGCAATACACAATGGAATAATTGTGAGGAAATTCCCTAATATTTATCCCCAAAAGCTATCATAATTAAAAAAAGCAACCTGTCTCTGAGAAAATATTTGGTTAATTAATAATGAGTTCAAGAAAGAAAATTATTCGCTACCCAAAGACAAGTAAGCCGGTGTGGTGGTATTCTAATTGTACTGAAATGTGATTTTGATTGTATGTTAATAAATAAAGTTACCCGGGGGTCAGAGCTATTAGAGCCATAGCAAGAGTGTGGCGGTGGTGGCACACGCCTTTAATCCCATAGATCTCTGTGTGTTCAGGGATACAGCCAGCATTGGAGACATATGCCTTTAAGACCTGGGGGGCTGTACATACAGACAGTGACGAGGCAGTCACGTGTTTGGGTTTACAACCAATGAGAAGGCAGAACAAAATACTATAAAAAGACAGACAGACAGGATATAGCTCTCTTTTGGGAAGCTGGGACACCGCAGGAGGAAGGGTGAGATTTTAGCTCTGAGCTCTGACCTCTTGGCTTTCTCTTTTACATTGGTTCTGTGTTTCTTATTTAATGAGACTGTTGGTTACATCTACAAGCCGGGGCACTATAAAATACGGTGTGATGGAACTCAACAAATGACCTGCACTAAGAAGCCTGCAAACCACTTGCACAAAAGATCCAAGGAAAGTATTGTTTCAGCATCAAAACTGTTTTCTGTGTTAAGGAATGACAGGAAAAATAATTACACGGGATTGCTAAATTATTCTACAAGAGTTCTTCGTACACACAGTTCCATTCTGAAAGAAACTCAATCTCCAAATATTATAAATAACACATTCTCTCAGAGAGAACAATATACGTAAGTTTAATATCCCTCCCTGACCCACAATGAAGTCTACACAACCCACATTATGGCTGAAAATTTCAGTGCTGTTTCTTCCCAAGCTATAAAATCATGAAGTGGCCAAATCTTTCCAGAGATGGATCCATTTTCAATATTCTGCTTCTAGGAAGTCCAGGTTATTATGGAGCTTCAGAGTTTACATTTCTTCTACTGACCCACTTTAAAATAACTGCATGAGATGCATATGCTCCTTCCCCATAGTCCTACTTCAAAACTTCCATGAAATCCTAGGGGTTGCATGCACGGTGAAGGAGTATATTACATAAATACAGAACAAACTACGTTGATTGCCCATGTTAATGTGGGTTTGTTCCTAAGAGAAAGGGGGGTTATTAGCAAATGCATTCATTAAAATCCTATTATTTTCACATTAAGCTATAATTTATTAAAATGAAGCAATTCTCCTGATGAGAATTACCACCCTGGGCAATCATCATCTAGAAAGCGTGGTCTTGCTTGGGATTTCATTTGGCTTTGTGAGTCTTTGTGTTATCAGGTCAATGAGGAAGTTCTCTCCATTTACTCACCAAACACCTATCTAGATGATGCCTGGGGACCAGTCTGAAAAAGGGAGGTGTGTGGGTTTCAGAGTAAAAATTAGTAAAGTTCTTTGTAAGTATTTATTCTCTAGAAGTCTTTTTGTTCTATCGCACATCCAAAAATCAAAGAATGATTTCTGATTTTCTTTTAAAACTCCTATTTTATATTCTACAGACATATCATTATTAGTACACTGCTGAAGAATTCCTATGTTCTGATTGTCTGTCTCCAAACCAATACAATCTCCTCTTTGGTGGTAATGTGGATACAAAGCTCTGCCTGCACTTTCACATTCACTGTAGAACTGATTTGTTAACAGTCAAGATGTGGCATCGACCTAAGTGTCCAACAACAGGTGAATGGACAGATGTAAGGTTGCACAGGCACTGAAGAATACCACTCAGTCATAAAGTCAATGGAGGCCTGTGATCTACAGCAACATGGATGTGCCTAAGGAGTTAAGCGAAGCAAGCCAGTCGAGGAAACACAGCATGCACACTCACTTGTCTGGGCAGGTGTGCGCTACAGGGAGAGCTTAGTTAATGAGTACAAAATCAGTTAGATAAAAGGAGTAAGTTCCAGAGTTCTACAGCACAGCGGGAACAATATAATATATTATAATAATATATTCTGCATCTAAAAGCGGCTAAAGAGAGGATTAGCAAATGCTCCCTCCAAAAAGAAATGATAGGTGTCTGAGGTGATGGATGTGCTAATTACCCTGGTTTGACCATCATAGACTGTACACATGTGTATAACTATCATACTCATAAATCCATACAATTACTATGAGTTTAAGAATAAGCCACGCCCCCACCCCCCCAACAAATAAGAACCCAAATGTCCTGGAAGGCATGTAACCCACTATCTACCCTGGAGACCTCATGCCATATTTCTCATGCTGCTGAGTTGCAGCAGTCCCTTCCGAGGGGCCTAGAATCTTCAGCCCTCACACACTGAAGCACTGTAAAGAAGACCATCAATCCTGTCTCTTTACTGCACTTCAAGAGATTGGATGAGCTCCACCCACTCCTCGATTCCCACCAGAAGGGCATTTCCAGTTTCTGATATTTGAGAGTTATCGACCTCTTTCTTCCCTCTTTTGAAAATCAAAAGGAGCGGATCAGCATATTGTACCTACAACGACCTCATCTATGTTGTGTCAAAACGACCGTTCAGAAGAAAACTGGTGTGTAGCCTTCTAGAAGTGGGGGGAAAAACCCTATAATTAAGAAAAAGCTCTTATTCAAGACTAAAATCAATATTTCAGAGATGACCGACCCACAGGCAACTGGAATGCTGGTGGTGGACACTGCCCCCGCCCCTGCTCACCTCTCGCGGGGAACAGCAAACCAATACTCTGGCTGCTTCCTTCTCTTGCCGTACTGCTGGACCATGGCGGTGGTGTGACTGGCAAAGGATTTCCTCATGGGCTTTCCCACTTTGATGCACAGAAACATGGGCGGGGTCTTGCTCTTTTCTTCTTTGGAGGGCAGTATATCTGCATCACACATGAAACAGCATTCCTCAATCCTGACCATATTGGCAACAGTAAAACCTCTCAGCCTACAAAGAGGGGTTGGCAACGGGGGGAAGCCTGATTCAGCAACATCATATTAGACCTAATGAACCACCGGACTTCCTTTGGCATATAGAAGGACAACATGTTTGCATGCTTCAGGTTGGTGTGTATCATAGGGCATGCTACATACTAAAAGTGAGCATAAAACCCACCACAGGAACAAATACTGTAGAACTATAACACTTCATAAGCACACATGTTAGTGAACAGCAGTAAGACCTCATTCCACTATAATGCTACATGGTTTAGAACTGAAATCTCCCCCATGGGACTGGACTAGGCTCTCTGGATATGGAAGATGGTTGTTTGGCTCAAACTGTTTGGGGGGCACCCAGGCAGGGGCATCGGGATCTGTCCCTGGTCTATGGGCAGGCTTATGGAACCCGGTGCCTGCGGTATGACACCTTGCACAGCCTTGGTGCAGTGGGAAGGAGCTTGGACCTGCCTAGGCTCAGTGTGCCGGGCTCTGCTGACTCTGCAATGGGAGATCTCGATGTGGGGGATGTGGGACTGCGGGGTAGCTTGGGAAAGAAGGCTGGAGGGTGGAAGGAGGGAGGAGAGGGGGAATCTGTGGATAGTATGTGGAATGAGTAGAAAATTTCTTAATAAAGAAAAATAAAAGAAGAATAAAAGAACTAATATCTATCAAAAGCATTTTCGGCTGAGCGTGGTGGCACGCAGAGGCAGGTGGATCTCTGTGAGTTCCAGGTTATCCCTGGTCTCCATAGCAAGTTCTACCAAGGGAACACAGTGAGACACTTCCCCTGCCTCCCCCTCTCTTTGTCAAACACAGCTTCAACTTCTTAGATTTAGGCATTCAATGTTAAAAAAATTATTTGAAAGAGTCAAATACTTCTGAAATAGAAATCTGTTTTTAGTTCAAGTTCTAAATAAATACTATGTTTTACAAATTTTTATCCCAATCATTAATACTGTCAGCAAAGGTATGTTCTATTATGAATACACTGCTCTCAAATAACTATTCTACAGTTACTATAGGTGCATATTTTACAAAAACAATTATACAACAGAATACAAAGGCATTAAACAACCACAAGAACAATAACCAAAAAAAGTCCCAAAACAGAGCAGGAGGCTGGGGATGGCTCAGTGTATAAATTACCTACAGTGCAGGATGAGGACTCAAGTTCAGATTCCCAGAGCCAGCATAAAAGCCAGGCGAGCATGTGGGCCTGCCTATGACCTCAGCACTAGGGAGGCATGAATGGGAGATCCTTGAGCAAGATGGTTAGCTAGACTACCTCTGGGCTCAGTAAGACACTCAGCCTCAGTAAATAAAGTGAACCACCATGAAAGACAACATAGGGTTTCCATGTGCCTGTGTGTATGCCAGACAGACATACATGTATCCACAAACATGGAAACATGCATACGTACATTCACACATCCTACACACACACACACACACACACACACACACACACACACACACACACACACCACAAAACCAACAGCAGCTTACCTTCAATGGGTACCTGAATTCTCTTTAACAGCCATAACTGAATCTCAGATTTATTATCCATTTGTGCCCCTTGACAGTTCTTGTCCAGAGATGGTTCCAAAGACTCCAGAGCCTCTTTGTTGTTAATTACATTGTCTTCTGCACTAGGGTCCAGTTTCAGGGGAAGGCTCTCTCTCTCTTTTACCCAGATGGTACTTGGCTCTTTGTTGCCCTCAGGTGGGGAGGAGTCACCTGCCTGGGGAAGAGAGCTACTAAGTGTGATGTCTATTCCTCCTGGCTCAATACTTTTGCTGTCAGTGAGCTCTGACTTCTGTACATTTTCAGAAAACGGTGGCCCTTCTTTGTTTTTAGTTAGGTAAAACTCAATGAGTTTAACTTTATCTAGGTCTTCGTGGATGTTCAGCGTGCTCTCCACCTGGTTTTCTGGGGATCCAGACCGTTTGTCTACTTCTGGCACTTTATCTTGCTTCTCACAGGTTTCTAAATCTAGGGCCCCCTTCAGTTCCGAATCACTCTCTATTCCTGTGAGGTTCAGGGACGACCGCTCTTGCGTTTCCTTGGCAGACAGGATAGTTCGGGGCTCACCCTTCTTTGGGTCACAGGAAAGGTCTTCCTTTGTGGCGTCTCCTTTGTCCATCCCACTCCCAGGTTGAGAAGAAAGTTCCTCCAAGTCCACAAAGTCATCATCTTCTCCCAAAAGGCAGTTTTCTTTGGCTGTAGATTCCAAGGCAGCATGGGTGTCAGAAGGTCCCTTGCTGAGCTGAGTCATGGAGGGAGACTCACTGGCTGTCTCCCTGGAAGGTTCCAGTTTCTTTAATTTCCATGACTCAGAGCTGTCTGAGGCCTTCATCTGTGTACATTCTGTTGCCTCCTCAGGAGAGCCCATTGATTTGGGATCTAAAGCGAGGGCTTTCTCTCCACTCTGTTGTCGTTTTTCCTTGTTGATCGACTTGAACTTACTGAATGGATTGATATCTTTTTCTGAAGCCAGGTCTTCCCACTCTCCAGGCCTGTACAGAGGACAAAGATCCTGAGGTAGGTCACTGTGGGGGCAAAAATGGCGGATGCATATGGAATGTTAAAAAATGAAACCAAAAACAAAGTGGAGGAAAAGAAAAAAAACACACACACAAAACAAAACTCAAACCAAAAATTATGCTACAACTTAAATTTATGCTAAAATGATTTCAAAAGATGAAAACGAAAACAAGAGATTGATTACAAAATAAAATATAAGTCAACTGAAAGGAATGGTAGATGGATGAGCCATGTGAGTGTGCCTCCTGCCAGAAAGACACAGACGTGTTCATAGCATGGAGATATTACCCGCAAGACTTTTCAAAATGGAATCAAGTTTGTGACATTTATGAAGGAAAGGACAAAGGAGAGGGAAGACTTCAGTATCAATGACTAACATTCCTTAAGAAGTCAAGTGTTTCCTTTTGTATAAAATAGTAGAAGTCAACTGCAGAATTCTAAAAGGCTCCGTGACATCTCAGCTCCTGTTAACTGTTCTTATAAATTGACTCTGAACTATAATTTTTTTGTTTCTTGCCTTAAAACCAGATGTTCCTAGTTAAAAATCCCTATTACTTGTAAAAGAGATAAAAAAGTTAGCTTCCATGATTACTGGAAGTAACAGCGCCTTACAGTTTAAAGACCTACAGAAAGAGAAATTGAGAAGCTCTTATATTGCATAGGTTTCTAAAGCACTTTAAAATTTGTAAACAATAACAATATAACAACTGGTTTATCAACCTAAACATATTGTTCTGAGATACAGTCACTGTCTGGCCCTTAATAAGAGAGATGCTTGGAACCGGGATTTGAATTATCTAAAAGATTTGCTAAGAGTGTGTGTTCAAGTTCAAAATAAATGGCCAAGACACTATCCATTTTAGTTAGGTTGGTAGTTTGTTACAGCTTTTATTGTTGTTATTTTGTTTGTTTACTTTCTAACCCAGACTGGCTTTGAACTTATAGTTCTCCTTCCTGGACCTCCCAAGGGCTAGGATTACAGCATGCGCCACTACACTTGACTAAGAAAAATACACATTTTAGTATGGCTGGGACTATGTTGAGAGCCCCTCCATCTTCACCTACAATATTAGTATCACCGTTGCTGGGCTCACAGAGGTGCAAAACTCCTTTCTAAAATGAATACTTTCATTTTAGAATTAAGTATGCTTTCTAAAAGGGTCAGATGATTTTCAAGTAGTACTTTATCCACTCTAGCTTTAAAGAAAATGATCATGTCAATAAAGTAACTAAGTCCCAAGCAGTTTTGAGTTTAAACAAAGACCTTCTCCCGGGAGTTATTTTACGGAAACCATTTGCACGGAAAGCCCAGGCTTTTTCCAATAGGAAATGAAAGCCCATGTGTTAGGCTCTACTAAATGGCTTAAAAAGCTCTAACTCATTCTTCAATTTAGTAAGCATTCATTGAGCCTGTAGGAGCCTATGCTAAATTATGGTTGTGACTGAGTGTTCTGTAAGAATGAGACTATACTAAGTGGATTACCTAATACCAGCATCCCAGAAAATACTGAAGATGCACTGATTTCAGGGTCAAATAACTTAGTGTGATAGGGAACCATCTCACATTAGAACTCAAAATTTCATTTGGCAGATTAAAGACTGAGACGTCCTGCAGATTGAAGAACTCAGCTCTTCACATCCTTGATTAATAAGCAAAAGTTTCTTCCATAAACATCCAAGGTCCTTTATTTCTCCCCTCTCTTGGAGAATGGCCCGCAAATACATTCAGCTGCACTCCAATTAGCCTCCCAGCTAACCTAGCCCACCTCTCCCTTCTTGTTCCTCTCCCCAATCCAAGCTCCCAGTTCCCCAAGGGAGACTAATTTAACCATCTGCTTTTTGTGCCCGCAGCTGCCGGGCACTGCTGGGGCAAAGTATCCAATGGTGTCAACTGGTTCAGCTGCTAATTAATGTTTTTCTAGACCTTTAGTCAGGCAACTAATGGGGATCAATAATCCCCACAGTTGTTCCCTTCCTGTTTTCTGTGGCAGCTGGACCCACTAAATATCCCCCACAAAAGACAAAAGCTGAATGTGAGGATGGTTTTAGTCAGTCAGTCACTCCCCACCCCCTTCTCTTTCCTCTGTCTCTCTGTCTGTCTCTGTCTCTCTCTCTCTCTCCAGGTAGATTTCAGGTAAGCAATTTTTCCTTTACTGTTTGGATGTGCAAGTTTCCTTAATCATCTCCACTTCCCACTTTTCTATTTTTTTTTTTCAACTTCACAATGCCAATCTCTACCTTCTGGTTTTTCCTCTACACAGTCCCTTGCTTTTACGATGCCTCTGCAAATACCGTCCCTTGGAAATCCCATTTGAAACTCTCAACAGCTCCTGGTCTAAAAAGAAGAAATGGCTCTTACGATGGCAGAGCATCTTTGATCTTCATGTGGGAAATGTCGTTGTACAGGGCAATGGAGACCACCTCTTCCATGGGGCAGATGAGGCCATACTCTTCACACCCATTTTCGATCACCAAGGGATCGGACTTATGAGGGTCAAACATGATATTGTTGGGAGTGACAATCATGACACCTCCAACCACACCCTGCAGAAGGAAAGACAGAAGACATCACTTGGGACAGAAAAGCACACCCTGCCCACCACAGAACCTTCAAACGCTTTGTCCTTCCACCGACTTTGTGAGCCACCATCTCCTGTACGACAGTCACAGGAAAGCTGCTAGGAAGGCAAGAAAACATGCTGGAGAGTCACAATGCTGGTTCTGGGCAGGCAGCCGAGTGTGACGGCTCCTTGTTGCTCTTATAGCTACAATCAGATACCTGTGTTGTGGTCACACCTCATACACTCATGTCTCACGAGTCCCCATATTTCTGTCAGCAAAACAACAGACTGTCCCAGGGCCATTCACGATCAAGAACTCAGTGCTTTATATTCCACTCAGCAAGACTTCATCATGTCTTTAACACGTGGCTCTTAAGTCTGGTGCTGAAGAGAAATCAGACCACAGTGCCGAAGACTAGTCCTAATGTTTTTGTCTAACACGATCACAAATCTCATCCCCAGCAAAATTCAATATAAACAGCAATGGGGAAAATTTGCAGCGCCAGTTTGTACAGCTGCATTATGGACATTAGGCAGTAGCCTGCAGATCTTCAAGTCTGAAGCTTTATCAGATTATATTAGAGACCCTGCTGATCAGCAAGATAGTATCTGCCAGGGACTGTAGGGGAGATTTCCAGCAGCTAACTCAGTTGATAGCTTTGATGAGTCTTGTAATTATCTTTGCAAATTGTTTTGTCATTCGGGAATTTTTTTTTTCTAAAGTTTCTCTCCTGTTTGTAGCCTGATGTAAATTCTCTACTCTGTGCACAGAATATTAATATAGACCTTTCTTTAGAAATTCACTAAAAGTTTCTTTCGTTATCACCAACAATCAGAAAACTAAAAACATGATGCAGCTGAAATAATTTTTAAAGCTAACATTACCAACATCAACACAAAATAAAAACTTCTATCTCCTACATTAGAGGTTAAGGTCATTACACAAATCATCTCTTTTAAATGCCACACCCCACTAGTTACGTTTTAGTATCATTCTCATTTTATAGATGAGTAAAGGAGACAAGGATATTCAAATACCTTCCTCGTATTTCATTTCTAGCAAGTAGTAGAGTTAGGATTTAAATCCAACTAGTATTTGCTGTCCAACTCAAACAGTCTCCCTAACAATGTATAGATAGCTCAAGAGCTAAAAGAGAATGGTAAATCCAAGATCACAAGGGATCATATTTCTTTTTAAAAAATTCTTTTTAACTTTTATTGATTCTTTGTGGACTTTACATCATTCATCCCAATCCCACTTATCTCCCTGTCCCCTGGTATCCGCCCTCTGCCCCTGCAATCTCCCCACCCCCGAAACAAAACAAAATTTAAAAGAAAAACAAAAACAAAAACCAACCAAACCAGCAAAACAAAAAAATATTTCTATTTAATGAAAATATTTCCTTCACTGGGAAAGGCAAAGTAACCAACAAGACAGTCAATGAATGTCTGTCAAATCTTGCACTTCAACTGTGGGTAAACTATTTTAATGGAGCCTGCCTTCCAGCAATGTGCAATCCTGCTTAGTTTCTGCAGATTCTGACTAGTAAACTGTCAAAGAACAGATACCTTTCCATCTGTGAAGTAGCGACAGTTCATTTTGAGAAATTTCACGACACCTGGCTCATCTTCTTCAGAAGTCGACGATAAGACCCTCTCAATGGGTTTTAAGGCCTTTCTTGCTAGGTCAGCATCCTTAGGAAAGCAAATAATGTCCAAGTTTAAGGAAAAAAAATCACCTTTTCAAAACACCTTATACCGTAAGTCTGTTATATCTACTTTTCCTTGAACATTAAAAAGGAAAATGACACATATCCTTCAAAAATACTACAAATTATTATTTTGATTTTGAAAGTTTCTCTGCTATTTATAACCTGTTATGAGTTCTTGACTCAAAGCACAGAATATTCATACCTTTCTTCAGAATTTCTCTAAAAGCTGAATTATTTTTGTAAACACCAACAATCAGAAAATTAAAATCATGATACTGCTTAAGTAATTTTTAATGCTAACATTACAAGCATCAATATGAGTTGAAAACTTCTATTTCCTAGATTAGAGGTAAGTTTGATAAGGATCCAAATCAAACTGAGATTGGAAAATGTATGTGAGCCCGTAAAACTCTCATTAAATGTCTTAGAAAATATCTAAGATAAAAGGATTCATATTGGATCACTGATTCCAATTCCCTGGGAAAAGCACAATCTACTCACTTAATTGGGAATTTAGCATCATACCTTTGCATATGGCATGCATCTTTATCTTTAAGACCTTTTGTAAACAGCTGTGCCAGGAGAGGATGCACTCTCTCAACTGATGGCAACATCCCTACCCTCACCAGTTTAGGGACTTGTTCAGATGTAATCTTTTAAAAACACAATGTACTGATTTCTACCACGAATAAAAAGTATCATGACAGAACTGACCCCAAGCATTCAAAGTGCTAGCATACATACAGGCAGCTTATCGTATTCTGCATCTGATGATGATGGAGAGACGGTAGCACCAGGAGTGGATGATGAGAGCCGTAAGGTACTAGAAGGGAAGTTGGCATCTGGCACAAACAGGACCTGGGCATAAGAAAGCTTGGCTGAGTGAGGGCCAAAGTCAGGCAACTCCCTAGCGTGTACTAAACCTCTGCCTATCATATCCAGTGCCTCAGTAAGACTCAACAGCTTCCAATTTACTTATAAGCAGCATGGGGTCTTCTAAAGGACTCATGAACCATACCAAGCAATGTAAATGGGCACGGTGCAATGGGTATGGAACACTGACATTGCAGGCCAGGTGAGCATCTTGGCAGGCCAGGTGAAGCCTGAACAATAGGACTGGAAAGGAGGGAGGAAAGGAGAGAGGGAAGGAGGGAGGGAAGGAGGGAGGGAAGGAAGGAGGAAGGGAAGGAGGGAGAGAAGGAGGGAGGGAAGTTAGTCTCACTTCCCAGGAGTGAGACCAACACAGCTGAGTATCCCTTACCTGAAATACTTGGGGCCAGTACTTCAACTTAAGCTTAACACTATATATAACTATATAACTACATATGTATATATATATATATATATCACATATATAATTATAACATATATATAAATACACCTTTCATATCATTTATTATATTTATTCATTATCATATTGAATATATCCATTATATCAATGTATAATTTATATATATACATATATATATATATATATATGTATATATATATACCTGCATAGATTTTTACCTGCTTTGATAATCTAAAAACTCCAAATCTAAAATGCCCAAATGGGCTCAGTTTCAGAATCTGGAGCATTTTGAATTTTAGATTTCTGCATTATGAATGCTGATCCCATATGAGGAGAGAAAAAAGAAGCATAGCAGACTACAAAATATATTACCCCTTTTTGGGAGAAAAGGGACAAATCCAGGCTGGTGACTTTCAATCAGGTCCCCAGTGTCAAAGTCACAGGGGCTTTGTATAAGGAATGGGACAAGGCAGTACCAAAATAGTAATCCCTACATTCTCTCTCCTCTGTGTATTTCATCTCTATGAAAATAAGACTACCCTAACAAGTGTATAATAACCTCTGCTGCAAAATAATCTGCCTCCTGAATTGGTATTATGATACCATTATTCAATATTCTCTCAATGAAACAGCTACATTTTGGCACAGAATCAAATATAACCTTAAAATAATGACCTTTAACTGCTGTAGACAGGATTTGAAGACAATTGTTTAGCAACTGATCTCAGATCAACAGTGTTGGCACTCCTTTTTAAACCTCACCTCACAGGGCTGGCAAGGTGGCTCCGTGTTTGTTGTGGAAGCCTGGAGACCTGAGTTCCATCTTTGAAACCCGTGAAAAAATGCCAGATGCACTGTTACATCTACAATCCAGCACTCCTAACAAGATGGGAGGCAGTGGCAGAGAACCAAGAGGAAACTTCCAAGCCAGCCAGTCTTGAGGACCCAGCAGAGCCCCAGAGGCAAGAACGATGCTGCCTCAAAGGACAAAGTGGAAGGAGAGAGCTGCCTCCTAAAAATTTTCTCTCAAACTGATTATGTGCATATCTGTACTTACACACCCCCATACACAGAAAGGAAAAATAAAACTCATTTAAATTCAGAAAAAAAAAATCAGACAAGCTATTGCTGTTATAACAATGGCGCACACCACTGCTACTGTTTTTGGGATTACCATTTCATAATTACAGCTAGCACAGTGGAGACCCTGGCAACAAAAGTAGCTACTACAGTTAGTTAATCTTTCATTCTATTGGGTATGATAAATTTAATTCAGTAGTTATATATATCTTGATTGGCTTTGAAAATTATAAATTTATAAACTCAAGTTCCAGTTGCTTTTGGGATACTATCTTACAAGGTCTCCAATGTACAGTATGGCTCAATAAGGAAGGGAATGGCTCAGTTGCCTTTAGCCTACTGGCTATGGGTGGGATAGGACCTCTGTTGGTCTTTTCTGTGTCGAATACACAGATTGCAAGCCCAGTGCCACTTTGAGATCTTTGGCAGCAATTAACCATGCAGCTCACACATGATTGAGCCGGTATGATAATGAGTATTCAGAGACGGGTAATGCCTGGGGGGCACTCACCAACCCAAGACAGAGCACCTGTGTGGCCTGGGCAGGCGACTCCATGACAGGTAAGGTGACCTGCTGATGTCCCACGCAACCCAAGTCAGAAGCTCATTTTTTAATAAAAGGGGGACCTGCAGGGCCCTGGCCCCCATTTCGGGTAACTGTTGCCTTGCTTGCAGATCTTGACCTTGATATCCTCCCAAAGCTAATTCCCTGCCAGGTTCCACCCTCCTGAATGTTTAAGGGAAGTTCCTTGTCTGTGTATCCTGAATAATGGGCGTTAACAGCTTAGATGCAAGATTGTAAAACATCAGTAGCGAACTTCTGCCCTCCAGGGTCCTCCGATTGTGCTGTAAGCCTGTAATTAAGACCTCCTACCCCCTTCAAGAAATGACATTCGACATTTAAAATTAAATATATATATATAAATATATATATATAAATTATATATACATAATTGAATGAGTACTGCGAATGTAATCTATGAATACCACAAATGTGATTAATATCATGAGTGTAATTTAAAAAAAAATTTAAAAAAAATCAGGCAAAACAAGAAAATATATTAAGATAAAGGTGAGAAAAACCTAAGTCAATGGATGTAAGATGACAATTGGAAATTGGATACTGCTGAAAACATGTACTACACAATTATTAAACACTGAGTAAAGGTTGACCAAAACCAGCTCTGAGTTTCCATAAGCCAAGGAGGCATATCACAGAGAGGCATATCAGCGGCAAGCAGAAACTAGTTTCTATAAGATTAAAAACAAACCAGTTTCTCAGAAGTGTAAGTATTCTCCTACAGTGTCTCATGCAAGCCTCCAGGACTTGCTAGCAGTGAATATAGTGACTATATACACAGGGCTGCTCTCCACCACAACTTCAGCATGGGTTAATGGCAACGGCCAAGGCTTTGAGTTCTATGGACGTCATTTACAACTTATTCTAGTTGTGTTGTCCTAGGACACAGTGCTCTGATTTACTTCATGTAGCTACACTGGAGGAATGAATGCACCCAGACTGTGGAATGGTATCAGGTAACACAGTTGGAGTAGCATGTGAAAACGGGGATGGGCCTTGATCTAGGACAGGGGGGTGGGGCGGAGGTTTTCCTCCTGTGTTTGTTCCAGTACAAGATAAGTGGAGATTTGAGGTCCAGAAGTTCTTTATTGTAAAGCAAATTGGCCCTTTGACCTAGAGAAAAAGTTAAGTATGTACAGCCAAGGAGTCTTCTAGGTAGGAAAACATCTTAAATGTATATCCACAGAAGGACACTTAAAAGAATGTAAAAGTATATTCTTTGTACATGTCATCAAATTTGGAACAAGTAACAAAATCGTCCAACTCAGGGCTCCCAAAAAGCACTGTATGCCTTAGCTACTTTTAAAAAGCTAATTTGATCATGCTTTTTGTCTTTTGAAGCAACAAATCTCAGGTAAGATTTGAGTTCACTCAGCCCCAGGTAATGTGAAATTCCTCCTCACACCTCCATCAAAGCTAGCCTAGTTCTTCCCTACCTCAAGGGGATCATCAAATCAGCCCCAGAAGGGTTAACTCAAATTTCCTGGAAATAGAGCAAGTCAAACTGGTTTTGATTTATCAAATCTACTATGATGAGAGATATCCTCTACACACTAAGACGGATCCTTAAAAGTATAAGGTCATGTAAGGTTTTAAGCTCTTCAATCTATTTCAAGGATGAGTAAACTGAAATTCCCAAATGACGTGACTTGCCCAGGTCAAATGGCTAATGAACAGAGGCTAAATACAAACAGAGTGTGCTTTTATATTTTTTTTAGCAATATAATAAGTGTGTAAAACAGTTGTTAGATTCGTATTGCATACCACCTTAATTTTGTATCACTGATTTTGTTTATACACATAGTATTAAAAAACATCCCAAATTAATTTTTATTGTTATTTATTTGTTTTTAGATTTTAAACAGGGTCTCATGTATCCCAGTGTGGTCTCAAACTCCCTATGTATCTAAGGATGACTTTGAACTTCTTCTGAACTTTTTCTTTTTTCTTTTCTTTTTTTTTTTTTTTTTATGGTTTTCTGAGACAAGGTTCCACTGTGTAACAGCCTTGGCTATTCTAAAACTAGCTCTGTAGACCAGGCTGGCCTCAAACTCACAGAGATCCACCTGCATGAACTACCACCACCCAACCCTGAACTTCTGATTCTCTTTTCTCTATCTTCAACATGCTGGGATTACAGGTGTGTGTCAGCACATGCCACCCTAAATTATTTTTACTAAGTTTCAATATAATTTTTAGCCTTGATTTAATAAGTACTGTCTAGGGTCTCCATTATGGGTCAGCCTATACATTATTCAGAAATACCTCATATTATAAAACAAGTCCAAAATGAAGTGATTAACATGCCTATTTTTTTTTTAGAAAAGAGTGTATCAATTTCTGGAAAAATTTAATGCTGGTTTGCCATTTAATTACCTGGTGCTATAAGTGTACTAATTTCCTCTTTCTACAATAGCAAAATACTAAATTCTAAGTGGCTAATTTGTGACTCTATTATCTTCATACATTACCATTAAAATAAATACAAAGTATAGTAACAATATTGCCTAAATATAGTTATATTTGAAGTAACATTGTCTATTCAGGAAGAATTAGACGTCCTGATGAAGTAGAGATGCATGAAGATGTGCTAGTAAGTCAACAATGAAACCTGCATGTACTAGTAAGTCAACAGTGGAACCTGCATGTGCTAGTAAGTCAACAATAGAACCTACATGTGCTAGTAAGTCAACAATAAAACCTACATGTGCTAGTAAGTCAACAACAGAACCTGCATGTGCTAGTAAGTCAACAGTGGAACCTGCATGTGCTAGTAAGTCAACAGTGGAACCTGCATGTGCTAGTAAGTCAACAACGGAACCTGCATGTGCTAGTAAGTCAACAATGGAACTTGCATGTGCTAGTAAGTCAACAATAGAACCTACATGTGCTAGTAAGTCAATAATAGAACCTACATGTGCTAGTAAGTCAACAATAGAACCTGCATGTGCTAGTAAGTCAACAATGGTACCTGCATGTACTAGTAAGTCAACAGTGGAATCTACATATGCTCATGTAACCCAGTGTTTCTGTGGATAAGGCTGTATTTGGCCTCAGAGATGTGCTTTCAATGACTGAACCATTTCAATACATTGGCTGAATGTACTTTTGGAGTGAAAAAACAAACAGAATATAGAATCACAAAGAGTACTAAAAGCTTATTGTATTAAGCTAAAGAAGCAGGATAATACATTTGTCAGTTTGTTTATGCTTATAAATAATATATTAAAATCCTGAAAGACAATGTAGGTTGGTTTTCTAGTCACTATTTTTCTTGATGTCTTTTATTTGGTGGGTGGACAATTATGGTACAAATTAAGATTTAAAAACAAAACAAAACAAAAATTCTTTCTAAATTAAAATAAAATAGTAGCCATGCTTTACCAACGAGTCGATCATACTGAACTTGTAAATCAGAATTAAATATTCTGTGTGATATTTGACAGGAAAAAAAGTTATATTAATTCAAAACAACTCTTGATGCCTCAAGAAATACTTCCTACCTAAGTTGATGGTGATGATAAATGTGTTAATTATTTCCCAAGTATAAATCTCTGTGAACTATTTGTAAGAACTAAGACGCCTTCAGAATTCTTGGATCTAAGGAGATGAAGGTGCCTTAGTTCTTACAAATAGTTCAGAAGACCATTTTGTGGCACCAATACTAAGTCATTGAATATAGCAAAAATTTTTTTCTAAAGTTAACACTCAACATAAAAATAATTACCTGGCCTGGAACAATAGTGTGTGTGAAGAGTTTATTCAGTTCCACTAATTTATTGGGAGTGATGTTAAACTTCAGTGCAATGGAGTTGAGGGTGTCCTGGCTTCCGGCCTGTAAGAAACAAATGATCAAGCATCAGTATAGTACATAAGGCCAAGACAAAACAAAACAACAAAGACAGAAAAACAAAAACATTTTCAATGAAGAACACCAGCTTATTCATGATAGCAGTGATTGAAAAAGTAATAGTTCCATCCAGATGTACCATGAAAAAGAGGATGATCAATTTTTTGTTGTTGTTGTTCTTTGTTGTGGTGTGGTTGTTTGATGTTGCTGTTGTTTTTTGGATTTGTATTGAGACAGAGTTGCACTCCAGCCTGAAAATCCGTAGGTAGCACAAGTCCACCTCAAGTTTGTAACCACACTCAGCCTCAGTTACCCAAGTGCTGAGATTTTAGGTGTGACCCCCACCCCCTGCCTGTCTCATGTACAATACTTAATGAAACTGCACACAAAGGCATCTTCACTTCAGTTCATTTCTGGGCTCCCTCATCTTCAGCTTTTACTGTGCACTAATGGAGTTCTAACTTCCCTTTGGCAAAATAGAGGTGTATTATTTTACTATTATGAAACACATCCGACCCCAGGGATTTTCAGGCTTTAGGATCAATGCAAGATATAGATTGAGAATCCAGACCCTAGAACCAAAATATTGGCTTTGAGTTCCAGGACTGCTGCTCATTGACTGTATGGCCATTACACAGCAAATCTAAAACAAGGATTTATCAGAAAAACAGTCAGGCAAGAGCAACAACATTTGATTTCTTCTAAGAAACCAAAGAAGCGTATCAGCAATGCTATTTCGCAGTGAATTTAAATAGAACTACAATTGTGTGCTCATACAGTATGAAGTCTACGATAAACAGACCACAGCTTCTAGGTTCCAGGAGATCAGAGTGCAATGAGAGAGGTGGGTACATGGCACACAGAGCGAGGTTCCAGCAAAGGACACTTGCACAGCATTGTTCATCTGTAGATTCCAAGTATATGGAAACATATACCCTGGCATGTGCCAAGAATACAACACAAAAGGGGTTCTAGTTTCTCCTCATGAATCAAAGAATTAAGGCACAGGATAGACATTCAAAAAAGTGTATCAATGATCAATTTTAAAATGACTTATTGATAAATGAGAGGATGAAACCTGATCTAGAATTTCTGGATGGTGAGAAGAGGTAGGAATGGATATGGAGAACAAGGAAGGTGGGTCTAAGAATGAGGGCCTGGTTTGTATAAATACTTGAATCATGGAGCCATTGCTTCTTGGAGAAGGAGCAAACATAGAGATCTAAAAGGATATTTAAGCAGCAATAGACACTGATGTCTTTGGATCTTAGAGAAGATATTTGGGATAAAGACCTACAATTGGTAGTCATGGCCAGCCTGGAGAGAATTTAAGTTATTTATTTGTTTGGAGGAACAAAGCTCCTAGGGTGTTATTAACTGAAAATGTTCCTTCTCTATTAAAAAGGGTCATCTAATTAAACTAGGTCATAGTAGGGTGTGCATGGAGTGTCGGGTGGTGGTGGTGGGGAGTGGATACCTGCACAGCCTTCTGGATGATCCGGATGATCTTAAGCAAGGTTGATAATCAATGGGGTGACAGACATGGTAGTCAGGAAGAAAATATGGAGGGAAAGGAAATGACTTAAAATGGATCTTGGGAAACTACATTATTTGATGGGTATACAAGCAGAAAATAGTTAAGGGGAGAGGGGAGTCAGGGAGAAATGGTATGCTTGCACCACACAGTGATAACAGTCATCCAGGCTACTCCATCATACTTACAGTGTATTCCATGGTACCATGGGGCTTCTGTACCACCATCTTCTTCTCTTTTTTATCATGAGTTTTGCTTTGATTGTCATCTGGAGAATAAATCATATGTCAATGAATACTTTCATTTTCAGGAATTGAAGACAAACTACATCTACATTATCTGAAAATGCAATATCAAATTGATACAAAGATGATGCCAGTAGGAAAATAGGCTATTGGCAGAAATGGAGCACACTCAAAGTACAATATACCTGTGATCACCAGAATAACTTATTAATACTTGTTGTAATAAAATAATACAAGAAAAATATGGTAAAGTTTCCAGTTATTAAAATATTAGTTTAAATGATACTATTTAATGCTAATGAGGTTGCAGCCAAATCAGTATAATCACTATATAAACATATAAATGGTACATAATGCAAATGACTTTAGCCTTTCAGAAAATGATGTGATTTATGTAGCAATAGCTGTAAAATGTTCATTCTCTGATTTAGTTTTCTGTCTTTTAAGAATTTATGAAGATAAGCTAAAATAAAGAAATAGTAAACACATATTTCTTAAAATACTATTTACATTTTTAAAAAGCCAAAAGAGCCATAATTCTAACAATAGATTAGGGTAGACTTCAGATTTTATTATGGTGTTTTTTGGTTTTTGGGGTTTTTTGGCTTGTTTTATTACTTTGAGACAGGTTCTCAAGTATCATAGGCTATAACTGAACTCTCCACGTAGCCAAGGATGGCTTTGAACTCCTGATCTTCACACCTCCATCTCCCACACACTAGATTACAGGTGTGTCCCATGACACTTGGTTTATGCAGTGCTGAGGATCAAACCAGGGCTTTATGCATGCTAGGCAGGCAAACTAGCAACTAGGATACCTTCGCAGATTATTTCTCTGTTATTGTAGGTCAAAATGGTCTACCACTGCCAGTCTCATATGACCCCACTTAATTGTTATAAAGACATTGTAATGTATTAATCTAAATATCAAAAACCATGGAGACATATTCCAATGGACTAAAAAAAATGGAGTAACAAGAGAATGTAAAATAGAATTAACCAAGAAGAGATACTCTAAGTTTTATCTGGGCAGAAAAAAAATGCATGTCCAAACTAGGTATCACTTTACACACACCTGCCAGGTCAGAGGAGCTGGATAGATATTCTGAGATCAGATGGTCTCAGAAGAAACATGAACTGCTACCGGAAACATAAGCTGATTCAGTCACTGCAGCTCCAAGCATCCACAGGTTGTGCATCTAAATTGCGATTTAGCTCACAGATGCACAAGGTCTCCCAGGAGGGAAGCACTTTATATTTACCACAAAAACCTGCTTGAGGATGTTCATCACTGTGTCCTCTGAGGCAGGGGGAGTCGGAAGGTAAGGGAAAGGGTAGTGCTCTGGGATTCCAAGCTAGTAATTAAAAATAACAAACCACAAATTCACATCAAGAGGGATAGAATGGGGTAGCTAGACCAGTATCATTCATGTCTGTCTGAAACAGTCACACATATTTTTTAGGAGCACATAAAAAAAATTGAACATTACTACCCTGAATATATGAGAATGACGTGGCATAGAGAGAGGAATGGAAGAGGAGAAACAAGCTATAAATAAATATGAAGGATCCTGTCTCTGACCATAATTTGTTGTAATATAAGAAAAGGGAGTAACTCAGCCACCTACATCTAAGATTCTGGGCGCGCGCGCACACACACACGCACGCGCGCACACACACACACACACATACTCCACAGAAATGGTCAACATGTGGATCATCTATGCAAAGACATAGGGATGCTGGGTGAGAACAGGAAGGTAGCGGAACATGGAAATGGTTACATCATATAGGAGTTTCCTAGCTTTTCAATATTTCCTATAAGCAATATTTAAAACAAAAAAATCAAGAGGAGAGAATGAAGAAGGGGCCACGAAAGTTCATTCCAATCACCTTCAGGTGGCCATATCGGGGTAACTTCAGAGAACAGGGCTAATGACCTCAGGCAAGAACATTTTATACAGCCCATGTCCAACACAGTTTAACCACAGGATTTTTGAGAGTCTCATAACACACATAAAAATGGGGTCACCTAGATCCGGGAAGGTAAGCAATGAAACATTAACAACATTCTTTCTTTTTCTTAATGCCATCTTGAAGAGTCAGAGAAACTGAAATTTATGGCCTTTGCTTGTTTACATGGGAGATGGGCCCAGGGCTACCATTCCCAGAAACATTCTTCCAAAATGTTTCTTTTTGGCCCAAGGCTATATGTTGTTCATGCTCTCTTAAAAAAAACAATGTGTGTGTGTGTGTGTGTGTGTGTGTGTGTGTGTGTGTGTGTGTGTGTGTGTGTGTTGGGGTGGGGGAATACCACAGTGTCCCTGTATATATAGGACAACTTCCAGAGACTCAGTTCTCTTTTTTCATCATGACGAAAGCTATTTGTTAATTTATTCACCCATTCTTTGAGACAGGAGCTCATCTAGTCCAGGCTGGCCTCAAACTTACTATGCACCTGAGGATGCTCCTGAACTCCTGATTGTCTTGCCTCTGCCTCCAGGGTGCTAGCATCAGGACCACATCCAGTTTTATGCAGCTCTGGGGATCAAATGCAGGCCTCCTGCATGCTTTGCAAGTATTCTCCTGAGCCTCATCTGCAGCACTCTACAGCCCCTGGAATACCATCATCTCCTTTCCTTATGGCACCCTGTCGTTCTCACTTGCTTCATAAATCACTGTTATCTCCTGTCCTTTGCTAGATTCCAAACAAGGAGGAGCACTATTGCAGGCCGACTGACTTGTGAACAGTTACTGGACTGCAAGACTACTAAGGAAAACGTGTTCTGGTGAAACCTTTCCATAGACGTTTAATATGTACACTTGAATTTATGAAAAAACAAACTTTCCCTTCCATGGGCACAGACAGAAATGTCAAACATGTAATACTACTGAAACAATCACAGAGTGTTAGAACATGATCCAAGAATGGAGCCGTGTGAGGGGAGTCCTGGCTGTTTGTGGAAAACTCCAGGAAAACGAGACGAGAGTCTTGTGACCTCAGTTTCTTCCAAACACAGAACTGTTCTTGGAGTGTGTTTTCATGTTCCTCCCAGGTGTAGTGGACGGGGGTGATTTTACTTCAGCTGTTGTTATTCAGGTGCCTCTATGGAAAACACGTTTTTGCCACATCCAGTTTGTCCTTGTGACTGGACACTTTACTGGGGTGGCTCTTCTTAACCCTCAGAGTATAAATCGTCTGATGCTCTGAATAAAGTAGACTAGTTGCATGAGACTTTAGTCTGCCTCCTTTTGAGACTCCATTTTCCCAGCTCCGTTCTCAGGAGCGGTAAGCAAGAGGGGAAGTGGTTCAGTCAGTAAAGTACTTCTCTGCAGGCATAAGGACCGGAGTCACATCTCCCGCGAAGAAAGCTGGAGTGTGGCCTCTGTGATCCCAACACCGTAGGGGCAGAAGAAACAGGTCCATCTCCGGAGCTAGCTTGCCAATTAGTCTAGTGGAAAGGGTGATCTCCAAGTTTAATGAGACCTGTCTCAAAAATGAGGTAGAGACTATGTGGTGTGTGCACACCATCGGGCACGCCGAAGAGGTGGAGGCAGGAGAATTATGAGTCCCAAGCCAGCCTGGGTTACAAATTTTCAATAAATAAGACAACACTTGACAAGGAACTCGGGTCCCCACATATACAGGGGCGTAACCCTTCTTGTCAGAGTCGAAGGATGTGAAGTCCTTGAGGTGGAGTTTAAAGTGACCCGGTGGTCACTTGACTGCCATGAGCTGTCACAATGACATCTGGCACATAAGGTAGAATGAACTTCCTGATACACATCAACTTCTCGGACATGTCTCATTGTGGGTAAAACTTTTCACTGCAATAACATCACACTGGGAAAAATCACAGGCACCTGTCAGAGCCACAAACCAAACGAAAGCCTCTATAGCTAGTCAAGTAAAGAAAGCATGAAGTAACTGGCCAAATTTTAAGAATCAGAACCCACCAGGCAGAAATCAGAACCCACCAGGTGGCAGTGGCGCACGCCTTTCATCCCAGCACTCAGGAGGCAGAGGCAGGCGGATCTCTGTGAGTTCGAGGCCAGCCTGGGCTACAGAGCGAGATCCAGGACAGGCACCAAAAACTACACAGAGAAACCCTGTCTCAAAACACAAAACAAACAAACAAACAAATAAACAACAAATCATAACCATCTTTGTGCTCTAGTTGCATGATGTAAGGTTTCACTTTACTTCCTCCAGTTAGCTATAAAGACGGCCAACTCTGCGTCCCAGTGAGTGAAATCAAGACAGGCTCTGCACCACACAGCCCACAGGCAATAGAGATTTCTGGCTCTGGAGAGGGGTAGGAAAGGGCAGGTACAGTCCCAGGAAAGGACAGAGATCCAACTCAAGCACTGAAGGGAGGGCCTATGGTGATCAAGAATGCACCTGTCTCCCAGTGACCTTAGCACCTCTGCTTCCAGCCGCAGGCCTCCTCAGAGTCCCCTGACACCTACCAAGTTCTAACTCTCCCCCTTATTTCAAGGATTTGAAGCCAATGCGTAAATGTATCTATGGATAGAAGAGGAAGCCAGTCCTGTATTCCTCAAACATTATTCTGAACAAAGCAACTTAACATATTACTAGCCCTATCTACAAGATAAAGTGAAAACGGGCTATATGAGACCCTGTTTCAAAGTAACATTTGGGATGGGAATGTTGCTTAGTTGGTAGAGTGCTTGCCTAGCTCGCAAGAAACCCTGGATTTAATCACTAACAATGTAAAAACTGGGCTTGCTGATGGGATTACATGAGTAATGCTAAAAAGTGGGAGGTCGAGGCAAGAGGATCAGTCAAGGCCATCATTGGCTACACAGAGTCTGAGCGCCACCCTTGGCTAAGTGAGGCCTAAAATGTTCTAAAACATTAAAATAAATAAAGATAAGATTATCCGGATACAAGTCCAGATGATGAAATAGTGCCCTCAGTACCCGCTCTACAGAGGAAAGATGGTGTTTCAATGGCACTCAAACGAGAGGAAATTAGAGACAAAGGGAATACTGTCTGTGT